CCAAAATCTGGAATGGGCTCCCAAGGGAGGTGGTGCTCTCCCCTATCCTGGGGGTCTTCAAGAGGAGGTTAGATAGGCATCTGGCTGAGGTCATCTGAACCCAGCCCTCTTTCCTGCCTATGCAGGGGGTCAGACTCGATCTATTGAGGTCCCTTTCGACCCTAACATCTATGAATCTATGAGTTTGGCGGGGGTGGCTGGGGGGGAAACAGTTTCCATTCTTTACCCTAAATTAAGCAAAAAACTGTATTTTGAGGACTTAGGGAGTATTTGTGCTGTTTTGTCATTCAAGCAGGAGCTGCCTATACTTTAATGCAGTGAGGTGAATTTAACTTGGGTAGCTCATCAGTTGTGATGTAATTGGAGACCCATATCCATAATCTATATCATGAGGACATCATCTGACCCTTAATTACACCAAAACAGTCACAAAAAGTCTAGATGTGTTCAAGAACAGGTTTTAGCCATAGTGAAGTAACAATTTTCTTTCTACATGAAGTGTATAATGTTTGGCTTCCTCAGGACTTAGTGAGGTTTGGGGATGAACACTGTGAGGCGAATGGCTGGGCTCATATGGAACTCTGAAATAACTTTGGATGGGAATTTGGAGCCTTAAGGAAATACTGCATAAGATGAACTGGATCCTCCCTTGCCTTCATATAGCGGTGTAGATCTGATATCCCCAGTGCTTAAAGGCAGGATTATCTAATTGCTGCTGATATGGCTGTAGTATATGCTGCTCTCTAAGACATTTTACGCAGTGGAAATGCAGGCTATCACACATTATTGATTTTAATTCTGCCTGGAAACTGAAACCACCTGTTCCAGTGTAAACATGGGTAGAAACACATATCTGGAAGATGGATGACAAACAGATTTAGTGTCCAAATAAGTCTAGTTTTGTGTGTGTGTGAGTTTACCCCTGCTCCACCCTGCACCTTTCTGTTTGTTTCAGGAGGCTCTTGCTGTTTGGACTTTTTCTGAACATTTCTCCTGAGAGCGCCTGGTGTTTGATAATAATAGACGTACTCGTTTGGAAGGGATTTGGTAGTAGAAGGCCCAAAGGACTGGAACTAACAATTATTTCAGGTGTCTAAATCCAAAATTTAATTCTTAAGCACCCCTCCTCAGCTGCTCCTGCAAGCCTGGAAATGCCCAAGTTTTTGCTGGCTAAGTTCCCTAGCTTTCTAAATGTCCCCTGTTGTGTGCGCCCAAGGCCATGTAGCTTTGAGACTAACTCATACCTAAACCTCATTAAAATTAACAGAATAAATATTCACCTATCTTCCCACAACATAAGGTCACAAAATCCAGCCCAATGCCATGACAGCGATACTCCGGTTAAGTAAAAAAAAAAACCGAAAAAAAACGGCAATGCTCCTTTTCCATTTTGAGCAAAAGATATAGCTGAGTTGCCTATTTATCTTCAGGAAACAGTTTGTAGCCCTAGTTGAGATGTAACGCTTTGTCCTTGCTAAGATGATTGATTTATAGAACACTGTTCAGTACTGTGTCCTGTTCCTAAATGATAAGCACCTCTGATGCTTCAAAAGAAGGTGTTTTAAACTCAGAGCTGTTTCTCAAACTCAGAGCATTTCTTCTCAGCTAGAGACTGAGAAACTTTAGAGGAAGAGGGTTTTCACCTAGTCCGTGAACTAAATAGCTGTAGGGTGTGTAGGTACCAATTTCCGAAGTCATGAGTGCTTAATGTGCAGAGATGCTGACATACTGCAAGGGTTCTGCCTCCCTGCTAAGAATGAAAAAAGGGATTGAGGGAGATGTGCTCTGCCCATCAAGCCCCTGACCAGAGAGGTACACAGGGCCATCTACGCAAGACAGTTCAATGCCACAGCTAGCCAAAAGAACCTCATGTTGGGTGTATATATCTCACAAGAGTAAAACCCAAGCAGATCATTTCTGAAAACTCCCAACATTTTTTGTCCCCCTGATGCACAGAAAACTCAAAAGGATTTGTATAGAACTCTGAACAGCATCACTATCAAACTAAGATTGGCTTATGGTGTTGTTAAGCAGTTACCCTTTGATAAGTATTTATACTGGGGGATGCTGTGGATTACCTGTACAAAATAAAGGACTGAGTGGGCTGAAAGGGTGACCAGTGTATTGCCTTGTAAAAATATTGTTACAAGTATAAAGAAACTTCCTGTGACGCAAATAGAATATTGATTACATCAAAGTATAATTCTCCCATTCAACATACAGAGGATAAACAAAAAAGTATAGAATACTTTTAACATGAGAGAAAACTCTGTTTATGGTATCTTATTGTATCTGGACTATCATATTTACCACGAGAAAATATCTATTATGAAAACTATACTGTGAACATTAGTGCAACTGTGATGGAGCATAACTGTCTCATACGCCAAGAGACAGGGCAGAAGTGGGAAAGGCAATGTGAATCCATGCTTGCTATTTAGGTACTCACAGGGTGCTTAGATTTTCACAGGATTTCTGTTTTGAAAACACATCTCATTTGCATAATTCATCGAAAATAAATTGCAACATCCTCTAGGTAGTATAGTTCATCATGTCCAGAAAAGGTTAACCCTTAGCTATTAAAGAGTGTGTGGTCGCATGGAGTAGTAAAGGAGCTTCTCATTGACAATGGACACTGTATATTAGTTCAACTATAAACGACGAAGAAAACTTTTAAGTTACAGCAGTCCAGAAAACAGTATAATGTGTGCACGTCTAAAACAACAGGTGCTCTTTTCTATCCAGCTGTCCTATTTAGAGCGGAGTGACTTGACGCAGTTTACAGAATTTTCTGTAGGATGGAGTTGGCCACATCCAATGATTCATCTTTCACCAAAACAATATCATAAGAGTCCATGTATTTTTCCAGAAGTTCATCAACCTAATTATTAGAATGAATGAAAGGAAAACCCTGTTAATAGCAGTTAATGCAGAAAAATCAGCTAGTTATAAAGTCAATTCCACATCACCAAAGCTTTTCACCAGTATTCAAGGTGTAGTAACTACTGTCACTACTTACTATGTTGTGTCTTTTAAGTTCCTTTGGTTATGTAAACTGAACTAGGAAAAAACAGCACATATATACATTCCACTCTGCAAGGTGTTTAGTATATATTTAAGCCAGACCACTCTCAAAACTTCATGCACTATGAGGTTGTGAATGAGTCACAAAATCAGAATGAAACTTCTCTCTGCTCCCTGAAATGCAAAGGCTGTGGAATTCAGGACAGATTTTTATTTTTACAGGTTTATGAAAAGGAAGCATTTTACTCTCTATGTAAGTGGTTTACTTTTCCATCTGGGGTGCTACATCTAAAATGAAATGTTTTAAATTTGCAATCGCAGTGTTGAATCTTCTTCAAAGAATGATTAACAGCCTATTTACTGCCTGCAAGACTGTGATTTTGCTTAAACACTTGATGCTAGACAAAGGGAAAAAATACATAGCATTTTATGAGAGACTGAACCACCTGCAGCCTGTAACTTTTGTATTCCAAGACATTTCATCCAGGAGTTTCAATACAGGTGATGCTGAAGTGAGGAAAGTTCAACTTTGCTTTCAGAAGTCATGAGTGAGAAAAATAACAGAGAAACAAAACACAAAAAAAGTGTTTTCAGCTTTGAAATGCACTTGGAACTCGGAAAATGCTCACAGCAGTCTTTGATCTATAATGTGTTATTAAAATGTTTTTGCAATTAGAAGGAAAGCCTAATCTAAATTTACCAATATATAAAATTACTTACTTTATCATTTAGATAGCCAATCTTAAGAATGTGTTCAACATTTGCTACTCCGTCAGCCATACTCAAGTCTCCTTGGGAATCCCCCAGCAATATGATGTTGCTATTGTCCTTTAACTGTTTGAAGTACTCTGTATTCTTCAAGGCACCATCATGTTTGTTGTAAACATGAATCAATTCTCCTTTGAATCCTTTTAATACACCCTAATAAACAAATGCTGAAGTTATTTCTGATTCTATGTGAGCAAAGTAATTTCAGGGTGGTATTTGTATATATATAGTTTTAGATAATTTTATCTTGTGCAAATATTCAGCCTCTTAATTCTTGTAAGCTTTAAGCAAGATTTGTTACTGTTGGATGCTCTTGGAGTAGCAACGTGAGAGAAACTAATTTAGTCACGCTAAATTACAATCTACTACTGTTCTTTGCTTACTGCTTAGGAAAATAACTCCTTATATGGTGGTAGTTTTCCAAACAGCAGGGTACCTGTCTGTATTCACTGCATTTAGAGATGCCTTTATGTGTAGTGGGGTCCTCCATCCCTCTCCCAATTCCTCTGAACTCAAAGTAATATTTCATACTCACGTTCTCATCGAAATCCATGAAGTTAGAAACTACTTTGACATTAGAATGGTAAACACCAGCTTGATGGATGACTTCTTCCAGAATGTCTCCAATCCCAGCAGAAAATATGAATACAGGAATATTATGTTCATTTAGCTTATCAAAAAAGTTCTCATATCCTTCCCTGCAAAACACAATGTAAAAAACAGCTAAGTAATATGTAAAGAGAGCCTATAGGAAACGTCATGTTTCAGGAGTTTTCCCTTAGTATTTTCACTGTACTTCTAAGGCCAGCAGGATCCATTATCACTTACATACCACGCAACATAAAAAGCACTTCAAGTAATTCCTGCTTTAAGCTCGTATTTTCCTGTTGAGCTACAGCATATCCTTTAGACCAGTGGTCCCCAACCTTTTTAAGTAGGAGGTCACCTTTGGCATTTGAAAGCAACCCGAGATCTACTGTGCACTGTCGCCACTGCCACCTCCCCCTCTCCCTGCCCAGCAGGTAAGTCTGTGGGGAGGCAGGGAGGTGGAGGGCAGATCAAGGCAGAGTGAGAAAAAATTATTTGGGGGTGCGCCTCCCCAGCAGGTAAGTCCCACCTGGCCGGGGCCCCACTCCTGCCTCTGTGGCACTGTCCTTCACCATCCCAACCCCAGCCTTGGGTCGACTCCAAGAGGCTCTGAGATCTACCACAAGAGGCTCCGAGATCTACCAGTGAATCGAGAACCACTGGTTGGTGACCGCCGCTTTAGACAGATATCCGTATTATAAGGAATCTACCATATTTTTTAGGTAAGTTTATCCAGTGATTAAGGTATTCAAATGAATACACTTGTTTTTGGGGGGTGGGGGCACTGCAAGCCCCATTTAGGAAGCATGGAAAGGCAGGGGAGGCACATGACAGCTGAGTTAAGCCCTGCCTTGCTGCCACTGGGTCCAGGTCTGGATTCAGATCCAGCTTGTAAGCAGCCCCATAGTCTAGATAGGTCCAGATCTTGCCTGAGAGCCCACGTGAGCTTGGTACCCCTGTTTTAAACTAATTGATGACTTTTAGTCTCTTCCTGTAAACCAGGGTTTCCAAATCTTAAATAATTCTTTTAGCTCTTCTAATAGTTTTCAATTTGTCAACATCAAAACTAGAACTAATGGTTACCATTCAGTAATGGTTCAAATAATGTGGTGTCGAGAAAGCATCTCTTTTTCTAGTATACAATTCAGGTGGTGTATGCTATTCAGATATCTATTTTTGCTTGCCTGCTTATCAGGATAAAGCTTCGTAGCATTATGTTAAACTAGCCAATTGCCTGTCAAGAATAACGGGGGGCAGGGGTACATGTTCTTATCATGTACAGGAATTTTTTCCTTTGTGGTGTCATGTAAATTTTACAAATTTACCTTTTTTTTTTTTTTTAAATAGTGCCTTTTGAGAATGACAAGTGCTAGTAAGAATGATTTATATGCCTGGTATTTTGGTTGCATAGCTGCAAATGAACTAATTCTGTAAGATATATTGTACACAAGTGGTCTATAAAGGGGGTTGTTAAGCAACATACTGAACTTGTTCCATAAGAATGGCACTAAGATTTGGGCTGTAACATATGCTTTACTATTTCCTATAATCCCAGTCAAACTATTTGAGCTATGCTGGACTGCTGAACTTTCAAATTAATGATCAACAATCCTTTGCATGTACTTCCAAAGACAGCATGTTACAACTAACATTTGGAGTGTCTTCTGTGGGATTGTAGCTAGTTTATGTAGCTAAAAAACAAAATTTATCATCTACATCTATCTTTATAGTTTGAAACAAGGCAGGCATGCAGTACGTGTGTATCTTCAAAAGCCATGTCTTAATCTAAGATTTGTTTGCATTTAGAAATCTTTTCTGATGCAACATTTAAAAACAATACCGAGAACCTTAAGTAGTAATCATTCCAGAATGTTTTGAGACTTATATCTTTAAAAATGTAACAGGAAGTCGTTTTGGTTACTTGTTTAGAAAAACACATCCATAAAAAAACCTGAAAGATTAAAGTATATTTGGGGCCAAGAGGCTAGCTTTGTCCTTATAGAGGCAGAGCAATGTTTTAGTGGTTCCAAAATATAAAGAGATATCAACATTGTCTTAGTGCCAGTTCTGTTTGTATATAAATATTTAGATATAAAATCTCGTGACTTTATACATAAGGAACTTGTAAAGAGCATATATCTGAATGCTTCCATTTCTGTAGTGCCTTTGAAAAAAAAATTACTCCAAGAAGTTAAGCTGCGAGCAAATTTTATAGGAACGAAAACTATATAAAATGCCGCTTACTGACTGAGGCCATGGACACACGTGTAGATGTTCGTGCTGCCAGAAACACCTAAAAAATAGCTG